ATCCCACATCTGTGTAGTGTCTCAACTAGACATGTCATACCTGAAATCAGACCTAGATTTCTGCACAACAGTTGTAGCTTTGGGAGTATGGGAGATACATCTGATAGGCTTGCAGTCTTGGACTATCATTTTTACACAGACTAGCTGACCTGGGAAATGACCTTGAGATTAACACATGAAACTGCTAATGTATACATATGAGCACACTGCAGTGAAGTCTTAAGATACAAGAGAAAGAGGCAGTTCCAGTCAAATATCTCTCTGTGCCTGAGATCCTCTGGAAAGTGGCTGTAACAAAGCTAAGGAGGGGCCCTGATGGGCACCAGCAAAGCCCACCAAAGCCCAGTGGGCACTGAGATTTATGCTGGAATTGATTGATTGTTGTAGGTATGGTTTACTTTGTGACGTCTTCCTTTAAGCAAATAAAAGTGTCTGTAATAAACATGAGAATAGCAATCAACTAGAAGGCAGGCTCTCTAAAAACAAGAAACATACTGTTGGGCGGTTTTGGCACATAATTCCACAGCAACATTTTACAGAGAGGGATAATAATCCTGGAATTGAAGATTAGAATAAAATAGAAGCAGATTCAAACTCAATCATTCTTAGGGAATATGGACTGAACATGTTTTGGAGAAGATAAATTCTCAACTATTTCATTTAGCTTCTATTAAAAGTTTGATAAAAATAATATTTAGGTTATAGATTGCTTTCCTTTTGAGGATTTAAGTGAATTTTACACACTGTTCTCAGAGAACAAGACTACAAGATACAAGCAGAACCTGGCAGAACTGTTCTGTTATCACTGATTTCTCTGGCACAGTGCCTCTCCTTTGAGCACTTTGATATGATACAGAGAAACAGTTATTACCCTTCGAAGAACAGAGTTGAAGTAAAATGCATGTGTGGTGAGGAGGAAATTAGGTTGCCAGGCAGGAGACCTGAGGTCAGGTCCTAGGTCTGTGTTGGTTTGGAAAAATGAGTTATGCCAGATCACAACAAAAGGCATTTGACTTTACTCAAGGCATTCAATTTAATTACACAGGAGGCATTCATTTTAATGACATGTGCAGCAGTGGGTACTGTGTGTTTCTTGTAAGGAATAGTTTAGTTGAAACATACCCAAATTTAAAGCCAAGATATTTAGGTAGACAGCATAAAATCATAATGGATATAGATATTGTTAAAAATGGAAACATGGTTAGACTTAACCATGTATCAATGTGGTTTTAAGCCATGAGCATACACAACCATACATGTGTTTCAGTGGGAACTCCTTACACTTTTTAACTGCTGGAGATCTCAGATCACAGTTTTGTAGCAGCCTGGTGTGTGTGCTCGTGTGTCTGTGCATGTGTAGGGTGTACATCTCACATTTGACTCTTTTTTTTTTCCTATTTCAGATTGTAAAATGACCATGTAGAGACGCCTTATTTCGGTGTCAGGTACGTATGATTTTTAAAGCTAATTGGGAACTTGGTATCAGGCATGTAAACTGTTCTTATGAGCTATTTCTCACAAAGTGTTAACATTAATAGTTCTTTTTATCTTCTAATCTTCAATATACAAATAATTTGATGAAAATAAATTATTTTGTCATTTTACTTCATGAATAAATAAGAAATGAATATGTATGCGTAGTATTAACGTGGCATTTCCAAATGAAGTAATTCTCATTCTGGTGGAACACATGTACTGAAACTTTCAGGTGTATTCTTACTCCTTATTTTTGGGATCTTAAGCCACCCCAGCTAAGTTAGAAGGCTCATACTCCAGCATGCCTGATAAGCAGTGGGAAGATAACAGCAATCTGCAGAATGTGGGACCTTCTCTAGAACTTTTCACTCGTGTTTGTGTTGCTTCTATATTAATATTTTAAGATTAGAAATACATTTTTAAAGTGAATCTTTCATCCATTTTCATTTACTGTGCTATCACAAAGTGCATCACAGAGTGGTCTCACAGAGAATGTAATGGAGTTTAGATGATGAAATGAAGCCAAAATGTGCACCTACACTAATGTTTCCTTTATCGAGTGCTGCATTTCCTGAAAATGATGTGGGAAAAGAAACATGGATTAGATAGTGGAATGTATTTGCTAATTGCACTGCTCATTTAATAGACCTCCGTAATACATGGTATTTGATGCAGAAGCCCAGAATTCTTGTCATTACCCACTAGATGTCACCATTGACACAAAAAAAAATAAGTGAGAATGTGTTCTGCCTCCCAAAAGCTAGGTTGGTGTGTCAGGGACAGTAGATAACGGTCCGTGGTGAAACACACAACGACAGAAAAGTACTGTTTGTCTGCTTTGGCTCCTCCTTTGGAGAGTCCTGCTTTGGCTGCTCCCCGGAAAATCCAGCTTTGGTTCCTCCCCGGAAAGTTCTGCTTTAGAACTTCACGGAAAAGTCCCAACCCTTGGAGACCTTTCTAGATATTGCTAGCCACTTCTTCCGACGTAGGCTGGCCCCCTGTGTCAGAATGAATGTGCATTTTTGTTAGCATAAAAGCCTGTGCCTCATGAGTTGTGGAGAGGTAAACCTCATGCCACTTAGGTCAACATTGCCTCCATGGGAATGCCCACTAAGGTTGAGCCTGCCACCTTGCACTGTGATGATGTTTCTCGGAGCTGGTTTCCTGATCATCACAAGGTCCTCGGGGTTGGTAAGATAACCAAACATCAGCGATATCCTTTGCTGTATCTTTTGTTACCTCTATATTTTTCCTGTATTAATAAACTAGTTATTCTTTATTGTGTTGCATTTCTCTCAACCCGGAATCCTTGAACTCCAGAACAGTTGGTTGTTCTCACCACACCTTATTCAAAGTGGAACTCCAGTCCAAGAAATTTCAAGGAATTTATTATGTTCTCTTAAATGTGTGTGTCCTGTGACCTTGTTTGTTCACTGGCAAACACTGGAAATATTTTACAGGAAACCACGCCTGGAGTATTGTCAGGAGGCTTGGCCTCACATGGTAGTAGTGTTCTCCATACTTTACCCTAATTTGCTTTCCTCTGCTTCTCTTACATCCAGAGCCATTTGAATTGCCTATTCAGTAAAATAAACCCTGTTATGTACCTTAATGTTGTTCAATTGAAAATTTAAAATAGGCAGTATCCCATTTTCCTATTTTATTATTATAAATATCACATCAGAGAAGTCCATGATCACAACTTACTCTGTCTTTAGTATTAACACAGATTATGATTATGGATAAAAGTGAAGGGAAATTACAAAATATTCAGGCAGCTTTATTTGCCCATGTTTAGCTGTTCTGTGTTTCAGCTGTACCAGAGGTAGTCTTTGTTATAATCATTGTAATTTTTAGACCAATTTTCACTGATGTTGTTTAAGTTGCTGTTTCATGTATTAATACATGTTAAAGTCAGAAAAGATAAGACTTCTTGATAACCTTGGTAGCCCATGGGTGAGATTGTTTTGTCAGTCTACACTAATAACTGGAGCTGACTTATTTCCTCCGGGATCACCTAAATTACCATGCATTGTGGCTGGAGTTGCTGTTGCTATCACAGTAGAAAAAAAAAGATGGTAATGGCTGTGAATCTGAGCAATTGCTTGTGAAAGGCCATTGGATTAGAGCATACGTTTCAAAAGATGCTGCTTTGTAGTCCAAAAGAAGGGGTATTTTACTATTTGAGCAGATGCAGCTTTTGTAGTAGCAAAGTTGTCTGAATTCTGGAATGAATTTTGCTGCCTCTATATTCTGTCTATGTATTTTTACCTCCTAGATTTGAGTTCCCTAATTGCAGTTTTTCCTACATGGTACTTGAAACCAAAGTCAGCTAATCTCGGAACCTTGTATGATACGTTAAAAAGGACTGCAGTTTCTTCCTTTAGCACGTTTCCAATTTATGGAAATGCAAACATATTAGGGCTCCATTTAACATTTAATACTTTAAATACAACTATCAACATTCGGGTGTTTAATTTCAGACAAAATTGACAGAGGATAATACTTTGCATTTACTTAGTATGTTATAGCCAAAATTTGTGAGAATGAAGATACTACATAGAACATCCCTTCAACCCACCCCACCGAAATCTTGACAGTACTCAGTTGAAGGAGTCCCAGTTACATCAGGACTTTGTTGTTAAGCTAACTGAGCAATTTCAGAAGCAAAATAGTGGTGAATTCATCAGAACAACAAAATGAGCGTGAGGACATTGTTTCTACATTGAGCTCAGCTTTTCCAGATGAAGCTGGTTTTACAGATGCTTGTTGTTCAAGTTGTGGACCTGAGCAACACGACATAATGTCAAAGCCCACCCAGCTTTGAGCTGTAGGTTGTACTTACATGTCTTCCTGAGATCACTTCCAACGTATTCTGTTTTTGTGAGTTTCTCCTGAAATGTTGCAGCATTTATAGCATGATTCATAAAATGCAATTAACTATAAAGGACAGAAAAGGTAAACACAGTTCATGTGTTTTATTTTTGGTTTTGCAAGCTTGAGTTGTTGCTCATGAGTTTGCCTCATTATAATAAGAAGAGTTCGCCTACTACAAGATAAGGGTATATGGATTAGTAGTGCCATTGCACACTTAGGTTAATTGCCAGCTTGTAGGAAGAAGAAAATACATGTTGTCTATAATCAGCTATATTCTGTGAGTCTAGAAACAGCAGCATACCCTTCCTGAATAAACAGTGAGACGGGGTTGAGTTGGAAAGCCTTAGCGAAATTTCTAGGACATAAACCCCAGTTTGTTTTTGTTTTCAGTGAAGTTAACATGTACAGGTCTAAATGAAGCAAGCACAGTATCAGAGGTGCTGTAGGTTACAGGATGACTTGACATTTCAAAAAAGTTTATGATTTGATCGAAGCTGTAAATAAATAGATTTTTTAAACAGCTGAAGCTTCTTTCTGTGACTATGCAAAGTACCTCTACGTGCAGATTTCACTTCACAAGCAATGTTCCCAGGTTTAAGTAAGTTTAAAGAGAAAAGATATTTGGCCAATTGCAGAAACATTATCTCTTCTTTTGCTGTAGCTGAATAATTTATAGTCACTGAAGATCTCTATTTGTATCTCATTTTTGTTCTACATGACGAAAGAGGTAATATCAAGTTGTAAGCAGTGTATCAGTTCTGAGATTGCCCCTGAGTTTTTCATATTCCTGATGTGAATTAGTTCCTCTTCAAATGTGTAAAGCTGTTAAATGCACGCTTCGCACTTTTACTAACACTTGTTTATCAATTACAGTTTTCCAAAGTCGTGTACGTTCCCCATTGTGTTTGTCTTTGAAACTGGAACATTTTGGTTGGTTGAAATCTTGAGCTGCTTTTAAGCTGACGAAAATCAGACCAATATCAGTGAATGTGAAAGATCTTTTTGAATGTCTTCTTGAAATTCTGGTTACAAAGAGGATACAAGAATGGATTCAAGGTGGAGTTCACATAGCCAAGCCATATAGTGAACATGTGGAACTGTGAAAAACTTTCATGCCCATGAAAAGCTATTACCATAAACAATACAAAATAAGGAATCCAGCACAGCATAAAGGCTGCCATTATGACCCCTAACTGCTTAGCTGCTTTCCTCTCCCTGTTCACATGCAGTCCTTGAGTGTGTGTTTTGGAATGGGCATGCAGACTTTGCCAGGTTTTCCTCAGGTAAGACAGTCCTTTGAAATCCCTGTTCTCCGGCTTTTCCTGAGGACTGCCAGCTCTTTCAGGGTTAGGATTGGAGCCTTCTCCATTAGGTACCTCGTCACTGAAAGTCTGGCTGTCTGATGCATCACTTAAGTCACTGTCTTGTGAGCAAGGCTCCTCTTCAGTTTCGTTCTCTTCTGTTACACACACATGCTTCTTTCCTGCTTTGTCCTGGCCTGGCTCAGACTGGGCAGTGGTAAGAGGGAAACAGCCCCATTTAAGGACTTTCCTATTACTCTTGCCAACGAATGCCTTTGAAGACTTGTCAGGATTACTGAACTGAAGCTCTGCCTCCATATTTTCAGGCTGAGGGGAACTTTCTTTGTGTTTGGGAGGGCTGTTCTCATCTAAGACTTGATTTTGGAGGCAGATGTTTTGCTTGTCCTTCATCTTACGTTGATGTTTGGAGTTTTTTTCTGAAACAGACTGATGTGATCCATTGATGAGCTCTCGGTGTTGACAGTGTTTTCTAACAGCTCTGAATATTTTATAGTAGAACCACAACATCATGATAGAGGGTATGTAGAAGTTCACAATGGCTGTCAACACTTTAAACCAGGTGACTTCAGAGAATTCAGTTTCACACTTGGTTTCGATTACTTTCCTTTTCCCATCATTAGCAAAAACATGCCATCCTAGGATTGGAATGACCCACAGGAAAGAGAGCAACCAAACCCCCAAAATCATTACCGAGGCTCTCCTTTTTGTTCTATACCTGAGATATTTCAATGGTTGCTGAACTGAACGATAATGATCAATGCACAATATGAAGAGATTGAAAATGGATGCAGTACTGGCCACATAATCCATTGACAGCCAGAACAAACAGGCTGGTAAGCCTAGAATCCACTGAGAATTGAGGAGATAAACAATGTTCAGGGGCATAACAGCTGAACCAACAATCAGATCTGCAATAGAGAGGCTGACAATGTATAAATTGCCAACGGTTTGCAGCTTCTTTTCGGTTTTCACAGCACATAGTACTAATATATTCATAACAACAGTGATGAGTGAAATGCTTCCCAGGAACACACCTAGAACAGCTGGTTGACTGATAGTTGAGTTGTCTGCAGTGTTTTTTGACATCTTTTGCACAGGAACACAGAATGAAAATCAGAGAAGACGTCCACGCCTTGGAAATTCAGTCTTGGTTTACTCTTCTGGATGAAAATGAGTGCTGGATTGCTTTGTGATTTTTATTTCCACAACTGTAAAAAAGAAAAGAAATGTGCTCAATCACTGTAGTACTAAAATAAAATAATAAAACTAATCTGTGCTTATGCTCAGCACTGTCCCTTTTAGGGCTCTCCCAGATAACATGGTTTTACAACATTTTAATTTGTGTTCTATGAAAAGCACTGGAGCAGGCTCCATGAACCAATCCACAATGGTTTGCAGAGGTGTTTCATGGGGCTTCATATAATTCTACCACAGAATCTGGAGAAGGAATTTCTGTTCTCAGTGTTTTACCTTTTTATATGTCATTAAAGTGACAATGGCTTTAACCTGCCAGAAGGGAGATTGAGATGAGCTCTTAGGCAGAAGCTCTTCCCTGTGAGGGTGCTGAGGCGCTGGCACAGGGTGCCCAGAGAAGCTGTGGCTGCCCCATCCCTGGCAGTGTTCAAGGCCAGGTTGGACACAGGGGCTTGAAGCAAGCTACTCTAGTGGAAGGGGTCCCTGCCCGTGGCAGGGGTTGTAACTGGATGAGCTTTAAGGTCCCTCCAAACCAGTCTATGATTCAGTGATCAAATAGCTATCATGAACCATAACATAAAGTACATATTGGCAAACCAATTTAAAATGTTGATATAAAGCAAATTAACATGTTTTGTATTAAATGGTTTTCAACAAACCAGTGATTATTTACAGATTGCATCTAATAGGCTGAGCATAGAGCAGTTGGGTTTAATTATCCACCCATAATAGGGTACCATATCATAGGATCAAATATGTCGAGTGACAATGCATTCCAAGCAATAAAGACTCCAGCCAGTACACACCTTTAGCTGATATAAAGTCTCAAACAACTCCTAAGGTCACAGCCAGTGACTGTGTTTTCACTGGTAGGCAGTTGTTCAAATTACATATAATGAGTGATCTCTTCCTACCCACACATTTCAAACATTTAAAGATGGCAGCCCTATTTTATTTCAAATACAAACTAATAAAAGTTCAGAGAAAACAATAGGATTTTTCAGGATTAGTATGCATCTTGCAACCTCTCAAATGCATATAAATATAGGGTCTTTTAGGTTGAAGTCTGCTAGTTGTTCAGCTGCTCAAGAAACATATGCGAGAAATGTCCTCCCATAGCTGTCAGAGGCTGTGTCACTCCCACAAGCCTGCTGTTGCTGCTTGCTGTATTAAAGTGGGAAGTAAACTGGAAATAAGAGGAGTTGGGACTAAACACAGCAAACCCTTCCTTTATGCCTAAGAAATTATTTTAATACTTAATCCTTAATAGATGAGCTATCTTTATTTGCTTAGAACTTTGGCATAAGCCACATGTAAAGCCTTAAGAATGGAATTCTTTAAAATCTTCTGTATCCCCATGATTAGAGTGCCCAAATTCCAGTACATGCAATGCAGCTAAAAAAGCAAAAGGTTAACCTACTAAACACCCACCATGTCATGTACAAAACCTATTTTACAGTGTTTTCTAGTCGCATTCATCTCTCCCTCCTATTTTGCAGGTGCTGTCAAGCAGTGGGAGATGTCATTTGCACAGACACAGTGGTGTGTAGCTTTATGGTGACTTGATGTGTATCAATGAACTGTAGGTGCATCCTTCACTTATGTATGGAGGTTATGTATCAAGATCATAGGCCTTAATAGTAAAACGTGTTATGTTTTCCATTTTCTAACACAAGCATAGTAACTCAAGTATTTGCAATAAAAGGGAAAAGGGAGAGAATGTAGAGGTAAGGAAAGCCCCTTTTCAATGTTGAGTAGTTATGCTATTCCATTTCTAGAAATTCCCTATGCCTTTGGTGTCTTCTGCTTCCCGACTGCAAACTTCATGAGCTGATCTAAAGTCCAAAAAAGGATTAATAATATTTTAAGTTTTGGAGCTTTTGATATGTTGACAATTCCATCTCCAGGGTATATAAGAAAAATGTCTGTGAGGGTGACACATATTTTCTGCCGATTTTCTCTTATGATGCTTGTCTGAGTTCATGTTCTGGTAAATCTGTTAAAGCAATGAGAAAGGAAACTGAGACCTTAGACATAGCACCTCAGAGTATTTACACAACTAAAGCTGAGATACACAATTTCTCATGCTTGTTATTCTAAACATAATCAAAATTATTCAATGCAATAAATTATTCAAATTTCAATATTTCATACTGAAATTAAATAATTCAAGATTTTACGGTAACTTTATCTCTTTCTTATTACAGTAATCAAGGTTAAAGCTAGAATATTTGTGTGCTTTCTTCCATGAGGTCAAATTCCTCCTTCCTTACACCTTAATTACAATGCCTGGTCTTATGAAAGAAGGAAGTGTGCTTGGTAGCAGTAACATCCATAGACAGAGGGAATACGTACACTGTGGGTATGAACTCCAGAGCTGTATTCTGTAACGCTGTGTTCTGTACAGCCTTTGGGTTCTCTCATGAAATTCTTCAGTGACTGACAGCTAGTCACAGATGTGAGAAGATCAGAGAGCTTCAAGCATCTCCCCTTTGAGAACAAGAACAGAAATTACTCCATGGATCTTAAACCAGCATGTCTGATCATGAGAAGTATCGCGTCTGGTGACTGAGAGTCAGCCAGTCTGCCATTGTCTTTCCACAGCTACACGCTGTAACCTCTCTGCTGGTCTTAAGTATATAGTCAAGGCAAGAAGTTGATGTTAATTACTTCAGGGATCTCATAAAGAAATGACTGATTTTCACCCCCACATATTTTCATTTAAATTTATAAATAAAGGGAGAGAAGGCAACTTTAACTGAGTCTTCAACAGGAAGAATAGCAGTGAAGCAAGGCAGCTGATTAGACAGCCCTTCTTGGTTGTCTGTGAACTGTATATGGAATAAAACATGGAACAGGATAAAATAAGTGATGCTGACTGCTTCCCAAACTTTCTTTTAGCACTGCTGCAGTGAGATAGCGTATGATTTAGGAGGCAGCCTGCAGAACTTGATCTGAAGTACTTCTGCTCCAAAGGAGGCACAAAGGTCTAGTTTTTCAACTCATGCTCCACTTTTATTAAAATGTCCTTTATTAAATGACAAAGCTTGGTTATGTTTCCGTTTGGAAGAGTTTGTACATGCTATAACAATCCAAGAATGATGTCAGGAGATGCAAATCATTTGAGAAAGCTAAGAGCAAGAAAAAATTGAGGGTATTGCGTTTGCTGTTTTAAAGGTAATGCTAACAGGTACTCCGTATTTATAATAATTCTGTCATTTAATGTAATTTTCATCACAGTGTCATTTGAGGAGTTCATAGCCCTGATGAATTTTATCTTCTCTGTTTTGTAGAGAGCTGGACCTGTACTATTAGATTTTAAAGTGAAATTAAGGAAAACAGTGATCTCATAGCAGCCTTCCAATATCTGAGGGGGGCCTACAGAGATGCCAGAGTGGGACTCTTCATCAGGGGCTGTAGCGACAGGACAAGGGGTGATGGTTTAGACTGAAACAGAGGAAGTTCAGATTAGAATTAAGGCAGAAGTTCTTTACTGTGAGGACAGTGAGGTGGTGCACAGGTTGCCCAAGGAAGTTGTGAATGCCCCATCCCTGGCAGTGTTCAAGGCCAGGCTGGACAGAGCCTTGGGTGACATAGTCTATTGTGAGGTGTCCCTGCCCATGGCCCAGGGTTGGAACTGGATGCTCTTAAGGTCCTTTCCAACCCAACCATTCTGTGATTCTATGATCTACAATATTAATCACTGGAATGGGCTGGCAAGAACCATTTGTTCTTGTCCAGAGTGAGTAGATCTTGAGACCAGATTAGGATACTGAAGCTTTACAGTAACACTAAATTTTCTCTGCTGAAAGTTTTGTGGTTTTCACATATGATCTTTTGCAACGATGACTTTATAATTATTCTCCCACCAAATACAGTTTTGTTAAGCTCTGAGTAATTTATGTTTTGTAGTATGTTCATGAAAAAAGAAGCCACTCTTAAGTGAAAAGGGTCTCCATGCCTGCAGTATGGTACAAGAGAAAACAGTAAGCTTCTCCTAAGAAGTAAGAGTGACAGCACACAAAAGAGCATGCAGAGAAGTTTGATTTAGTTGCAGAAATGTTACATTATTGGTCAGTGCCCTCTAATACTGCTCTGTATTTGGAGCTTTGGCCCTTCTGTCACAGTCTTGCCCACTAAACTTATGCTGAATGTTACACCACTGCCACTCTTTGGTAGAATTAGCACATTTTGCCACAACTTTGTCCACAGGAAGATAACTAGAAAATAATAAGCCTTGCTCCATATCATGGAATTCACTGATCACCTCTTCTGTGCTTTAAGAAAGATTATAATCCACAGGGTTTTTTTCTTAAACTTCCTACCATCATCATTAGTAGTGGATGGTACAAAGTATCAGCAGCATTTAGTCATCCTGAGAGCGCTGTCATTTGCAATAGCAGCTTCTTGTTCTTTGTTGAGGCACACACCATTTTGTAGTGGCTGTAGACTGTGGTATATGTACCCCAGTTCAAGAGCTACTGGTTTAACTCCTTATCTGAAACTCAGTTCCCAGCAGAGGAACTGCAGTAATACTGAATAAATGTGTTGTAACATTTGGACGGTTTCACTCTCATTTCATTGAACCAAAGCTCACTAATACAGAGCAGCTTTTTAAGAAAACAATCAGTGTAAGAACTTGGGTAGCTCTTTGGAATTTCTAAAACCTGAGCTCACCAGGAAATGTCTTCTTTAATTTTTACTGTCTGTAAAGAGCTTTTTCTACAAGGAAGATCAGCAATCAAGACTTGTTTGTTATTGTGTCACAGTGAGAATTCTTCCCAGGAACAAGAATCTCCTGAGAGATGCCAAGCGGATGCCTTCCTCACTCATTAGTGCAGGTGCAACCTATTAAGCCCTGACTAAGTGGGAGTTAAGTCTCTAGAAACAGATGCTGGTATATCTCTGATGGATAAGTTTTAAAGAAACCACAGCTACAACAGGCAAAGGCAAAGCTAGAACAGACTTCTTGTTCATCAGACTAAGTTCAACACAGAAGGTAGGATTTGATTTCAGATGACCTCTGTTGACTGCGTTGCACTTAAGAAACCTATTAAATTACATAATCTGAAGCTTTTGTGTCTGGCCTTTCAAATTTTGACAATCCTACTGAATTGCCCTCTTCCACTCACATACCTATTTTAAGGGCAATGAGAGTTCTAAATGAACCTTTTACTATGTGAACATAGTGAACATCCTGACTTATAAATACTTTTATTCCTTGTTTCCATTATGATTTTTCCTTTGTGAGAAGAAACTCTTAACCAGCAGATTTAGACATCTGGCTGTCTAGTTTTGCATGAACTTGTATTGCATGCATTTGATGTTAGAGAATTTTTAGTGGTTCTTGATGTAAATGCTGTTTTGAGGAAAAATGAGGTCAGAACTAATGTAGCAGATAGACACTACTGCAGATGTGCTGAAATTGACTTCACAGACCAGT